AACATTCCAAATTCGAAGACTTTTGGGATTGTTGAAATAATTATTGGTTCCCAAAAATTCTACCACCTAAAAGCTTAGGGCATTGCACCCCAAATTACCAAATCCCAAAACACCAGGAGCTCTGCTTTTTTTCTTCAATGCGTGCTGCGGGTGCCAGTTAGATGCCAACCCCCCCAAACTTCAAAAGGACCACAGCTTTTCCAGTATAACAGCAACCCTTTTTCCCGTCAATCCCAAAATCCCAGATACCGCTGAACTTTAAATCCACACAACAAATTCCAGGCCAGAAGACTGCCGTGGCTGTCGCCGCAGGCGCAGCTGCCACTTTGGCCTCGACAGCTGCTGGGCCCATCCGAGCAAGTGAATGCGTTAGTGACTGAGGAATCCTTGGCAAGAGCCTTCACGCTATTACGCATCAAACCGTTGTCTTTGGGTCTCTTATCCTTATGGGTCTAAATGTTCAACGGGAGAATCGAACTGAGAGCCTCAGATGCCTTCAGAAGCTCGCAAGGGAAACAAGAAAATTGATGCCCAGCTCCCGTCCAAGGCTTTCGTACAGAGCGGCTCAGCCGTGCAGGCTGGTTTTGGCTTCCGGGTTTGGGTTCGACTCCTACATGAATTCGGAATTCAGGGCTTAGTGCTCATAAGTCTGCTTATGCAAATGGAATTAGAATTATCCAGGAACTGCATCATGGCCTGTTCAGACTCCATCTGCTCCCCGAGGATCATGGAGCTATGGGACACTTTGGCAAAGCTTTACAACTTTTAATCATTTACAATCAATGCTATGTCAACCTTCTATCCAGCGTTGCGTGCAAGCAGGGGTAACACCTTCTCCAGCCGAAATGGATCAAACGAAGAACCACTTACGCTTGACCAAACTAGGACCAAGTATCATCAACAAGGCTGCCCCCGAGAGAAGCAGCGCGCAGCTGCGTGGCCGAGCAGCGGCACAGGCAAGTGCCACAGGCCCGAGGGGCTTAGCATCGGGGCTGAGAATTTTCCTTGACCGTAGTGAGAAAGACAAATGGTGAACGTCTCAGACGGCATTTCCATGTTTCGAGTGCATCTACAGGACATTTAGCCTGGACCCTTAAAAAGGACTTACTTAGGCACGAATGCCGCGTGCGAGCCTCATCTGCAATTCAGGAAGCAGTTCCTCAAGCCTGGTCGGCTACACGGTCGCTGCCAGTGCATCAGCCGCTGGGCTTTGATGACTTGTGAGCTCATTGCTTTGCGTCTGAGGATTGAACAATGCGGCGTTACTCATGATGCAGGCTTGATGTTGGAGAAAGGTGACGCATCACCTACATTTCCACTGCGCGTGCCACCGCCTCTGCCACTGCCGGCTGCCATCGTGCCGCCGTTGCTGCCGCCACCGCCGCCACGCACTCGCGTCGCAACCACCACCGCCGCTGCCGCCGCCGCAACCGCCCATTCGCCTGCCAACAACACCACGCCCAACAAGAATATGCTGTCAGTGTGTTTCTTGTAAGTGGGGTGCTGGACTCCAGATCCCAGTCTTTTACGGGGTTGGTTGGCTTGGGGCTTGGGCTCGTGAGGTTGTCCTTCAGTGGTTTGCGCAAGAAGAGTTTTTGCACCCAAGGCTCTTCTTGCCGCGCAGCTCCGGGGCAAGGCTGGGGTCCAGAAATTGTTCATCTGCGTTTCCTTCAGACAGGTTCGTATGCTTCAGAGAACTCGAGGCACAGGTTGTCAAGCCTTGGGAAAGATTCTGACCGCAACTGTCCTTTTGGTTTGCTAGGCCTTGGTGCCCTTCTTGTCCAGTAAGCTGTGACTCCCTCGGCTACTTGCTGCTTGGATAGGCCTGATCTCTGCGTTGTGATGTCTCCTCTCGTATGTCTCGTGTGTATGTGCTCAGCTGCTGCGCGAGTCCTGCGTCCACTTGCCCACCTCTGCGGGTTACCAGAGGTTCCAATCTCATGAGCTGCCCCTAAACATGTAACCTCCGAAACTTCACAGAGTCAGAAGCCCTCAAAACCCGAAGGCACTAAAGGCGAAACCCAGGAACCAGACCTGAAAGCCCTTGGTGACATGAAGGGATCCCATGCAGAAAAATGGTTCCGCTGCGGGAATCATTGGGAATCCCCCAAATAATTGGTAGTTTCCCAAAATAGGGGACCCCAATATAGTCCCCAAAATACTATAGTCCTTATTATGGGGACCCCCAACATGGTACCCCTAATTTTGGGAATCCCCCACTTAAAGAATTGCGGAAGCCCAGTCTCCTTTGCCAGGCTAGCCAGAGCCGCAAGGCCCAGGTGCTCATTGAGGGCCTATTTTGGTTCAGACTCCATGTGGGTGGTTGTCAAAATTATGGTCCCTTTTTGGGTCCCTAGTATAATACGGCACCTAACATTTAGAGTACCCAAAAAGGGACCATAATTTTGACAACCACCCATGTATCGGGATTATGTAGGGAATAATGGAAAGAACATGGAAATTATAGGGATTATGGGGATCCTATAGGGTTTATAATAGGGATTACCGCGTATATATTGGGATTTTACATGTATCGGAGTCCTGGGCCACCTGCACCTTGAGATTTTCGGAGGAGTCACGCTCTGATGGAGGTTAAGGCTTTCTGTTGTGGTGTGGTGGAGGCTACACTGATAAGGATTTCCAAGTCGGGCGGGTTTCCGATAACTTCCCGGCCCCTGGGACAGTAGGGAGCCTTGTCAGCTGCGCGTGGAAGAGCTTTGCCTGTTCCTGGTGAATCACGGATTCTTCTATTTCTTGTGATTCCTGGGATTCCTGCCACTTAGGGGAGTGATAATTCCGAAGTAGAGGTACCCTGGAGTTCATTCATTCAAGTCCGGCAGAATGCAGAGAAGGGTGACTATGACCAGCAATGTCCCACTGTTGTACTGTTTTACTGTGCTGTCCGTGAGTATGCTGGAGGTGGTTGTGCGCGCCTTTGAGAATGAGCTTGGCGTCCAGGTTGGGACGCGTGCGGGGTATTGAGTTTTAGGAGCACTTCATAACAAAAATGTGATCGTCTTAAGATATGCGCGTTTTGGGTGTTCTGGATAGAATGTGGATCTGGAGGGGTCAGCACGAAGTTAGAGGGTTTAGTAAATGAGTACGAAAGGTGGCCATGCAACAAGTGCTGGTCTCTGGCCATGCATACTCGTTTGCGTAGTAAAATGCCACTGCTCCGAGACTCTTCACCCCACAAGCCTCACATGGCTTCCCAGACCAGCCTGGCATTCAGGATCCGGTCGGTTTCTGGGATCCCGCAGGGCCTCTTG